CGGTCTGAAAAAGTCTCAATTGAAAGACTAAATTAAGTTAAACAACACGCACACCGAATGTTACATGATGCGTTAATGTACAATCAAGAGCTCCATGCGTTTATTTGAGCTGGGAGGTGTATTGTCTCTATTGGAAGGCTTGTCATTAGCAATAGCGCCCCAGGCTGGTTAATTCACTCACCACCCAAACCAGTTGAGCCTGGCAGCCAGATACTCATGCTCACGTAGTGACCCATGACCCAGTCTCTACTGCCTCCTCCACACAGCCCCTGGTACGCCGCTCCATGGGAGAGAGAACTTGGCTAAGCTTTACTAAAGATCCCCCCTAAGGCACACGCTTCTCCCCTGCCACAGAAGAAGCAGCAGCAGCAGCAGGAGCCGAAGCGAGCCCAGAAAGGCTTGAATCACCACTGTGCTAGGCATCTGTTTGAAAAGCTCCCCAGCCCCGGCTAAGTACAACAGAGCGCTAATGTCTGCGAGGCTGGTGGTGACCCCGAGTGATCTGTGTGTGTGTGTGCTTGAAGGTGTGTTTTGGTCTCGGGGAATTTACATGTAGGTGTGTGCATGTATGCGTATGCATGTGCGTGAAGAGTGCTGTGAAATGAATCGACGCATTATCACGCCCCTGCCTCTGATCCCCTCAGGCCCTGGAGGCTGTGCTGTTCAGAGCCTTGCTGCTGTGTGTGAGTATGTGGTGCCTATGTTCCAGCACTCGCTCTGGCTGCTGCGTCTGCTCCGTGGGAAGACTGCTGGAGGGTCTCCAAAGCAACTCTCACTCCCCTCTCTCATCTCTCCCACCTCTTATTTCGCTTCCTTTCTCCCTGTCTCTCTGTACTTGAAGGGTCTTGGTGCTGAAAGAAACTTCGGCACCCTCTCACATTTTTTACTTTAGCAAGCGGTTTTCTTCTTATCTCTTGGTTACAGGCTATATTAATCATTCTCGATAAACAGAATACACAGAAATACACAAGTGAATATACAAATGCACTGTGCAACAAACTAGTACTTAAACAATGGAGGCAACTCTTTGCATGGCTTTTTTGGTTGAATTCATTTACTTGATAATAATACTGAACTTGAAATGTCACATCGTCATGGCTTTAAATCGGTCATCACTGTAAAAATGACCAACTTAAAGGAATAGTACTTATGTCATCATGTTGTTCCAAACCTGTATTACTTTATTTCTTCTGTGGAACACAAAATAAGATATTTTGAAAAATGTTTCAGTGATTTTTTATGTATACAAGGAAAATCAATGGGGTCCAATGTCGTTTTCATGGGCAAAAACAATCTTCAAAATACCTTCTTTTGTGTTCCGCAGAAGAAAGAAAGTGAGAGACCTTAGTCAGTGTAGCACCATATTTCATTTTTGTCATGAATGAAAACGAGCCTGTGAGGCATATGTACAGTGGATTCAATGGATTGTACTGTTATTTTAAAAACATACTGATTGTTTAGCTGACTAAATGTCTTTCCGGAAAAAAAATGTCAGTAGACAAAAGCTCCATAAAACTGTTTTGGAAGTTGTTAGCTGTGAAAATTACGTGATCTAGGACCTTTATACAGTGTGTGCCATTGTAAAGATTGTAAGTCAATCTCCCATAGCCTCGTTTTTATCCGTGTCAGTTCAATATGGCATCTGGTCTATAGGTTTAGAACGACAATCAAGTGAGTAAATAATGACAGAATTATCACATTCTCAGATTTTTTTCAGCTGTAGCATCTTAAAAAGTTTTCCCTTCAGTTACGTTTAAATTGTACAACATTACAATGTAGGTAACATTTCAATCTAAGTAAACTAACAACTAAATTTTTACTGTATTTTTTTTTTTTTTAGCATTGTTTAACTGATATAAGAATAATTTTCCACAGATAAAGACATTAGTATAATATGGATATCTGCCAATGCCATATTCTGCATTTCAGTAAGCCATCAAATGTGACTGACAGCTCCTTGAGTGAGGCTGACACCCTCACTGCCGGCTGTCCGACCTCTTCAAGAGATCCCTATGAGCCGTCAACAACAACTTTCCTTTGGCAGCTGGCATTCATCAGTGGCTTACACATTAACTTTACACGGGCTCTGTGATTGCAGCTCAGCTTGTTTGGGAGCATGCTATCTCCCACTTTCTCACGTACTTTAGTCCTGATTACATTATAGCTGTGTGTGGACAGCCATGGTTGAGAGACCTTGATAAAGATATGATTCTGACAGAGAGAGAGGAGAGGGTTGGAAAGGGGCTGAAGAGGGAAGTGTGTGAGTGTGTGTGTACGTGAGTGAGCAAGATAGAGAGAGAGAAGCAGTGACAAAGACTTTCCTAAGACATGAAAGTATTGCTTTAACTATACTTATGTCAATAAATGTGCCAATAAAACAGAGTGATACAAAATAATATGGACTTTTTACACAGCCATAATTAACTTAATTGCAGAGACGTATGCTCTTCTTCATTGCTGCAATTCAGTATGTCAGTGATTCATACACACTGTAACAATGAGCCTATTTTTTCATATAGACACAATAACGACATGATCTCACAAAAGGTAACACTACAGAAAAACACACATGGGACTTGCAGCGTCCAGGTGCTCGGGGGGGGACAACGCAACCTGCCCGTAATTCAATGCAGTCTCTAGATCCCTTGTGCAACACGAGCATGAGAAAGTTACTCATGCGGAGACTAAAGGTTTCTGAATCTACCGGTCTTTGTCTACTTGACATCAATACATTTGTTTTGTGAGTTCTTTACAAGTGTGAGAAAGAGCGATGAATCTGTTTCGCAGTGTAAACAAATGCGACATTGAGTACTTTGAGTAGTTATTATTTATAAAAAATGTGCAGAGCTGGAAAAATAATTTTCTTGCTTTATTGTAACACATTTTGTCTGCAACTCAGTGTTTTGTGTCTCAAACTTTGATATAATATTCCCATATTTATCTGCTTCAAATTGACGTTTAGAAATCTATACTTAACCCTAAACTGTGTAAATAAGTGTGAAGCACAAAGAGTGATGTCTGTTCCAATCTACCCCCACTTTTGGGGTGGGTTGTAACACTAATTTACTTGTTCAAAATGATTGTTATGCCACCCCTCCATCACCTCCCCCACTGCATAAGCATTTTAATTCAAAAGCATATGCAAATTAAAAACATTTGACTTCATAACAGCTACTAAAATAGAAGACATGCCTGGTCAGCCATGATATTTCTAGCAGTTTATTTTAAACCATGCAGATGCAATGCATATAACATTAAACAAGAGAATATTCTCTTTCAGTTTCCAAATGTAACAGTTATTAACATTAATTGGTTAAACTGATTGAACTTCAACAGCTGTCTCTCCTACAAAAAACACATAAAATGTACAATACAATGTTCATTATTGTAAAGCAAAAGTGATAAGAGTAATGAACAAACTGTAATTGTTTTGTGGATCTGATTGCAATTATATGTGTATTATTTATTTATTACAATAGTAATTAACTAATATCAACATCAGTAAGAATTGTATAGCAGAAACTGAGTAGATGTGATTAGAAACACATATAACAATGCAGACTGTTCAGCAGCATGCCACTATGATATATCACACTCATGAACTGCAGGAGAACCCCCCCCCACCCCCGGCGCTCTGTCCCGCAGACGCGCGCAAAGCCGGCAGGAGCAGCGCCTTCCCCCGCCGCTTGCGCGCCACGTGTCGCGGGGTCTGCAGCAGCTGGAGACTCTCACCCCTGTAAATGTGCATATCAGAAGGCTGCCAAACCCACACCACACACTCCAAGCACAGTCTTTACTCTTAGTGGATTATGATAGACCACTAACTGACAAGTCTTTTTGTTTATGATGGATAGCAACGTGTGCAATGTGTTGAAACTGTGTACGTTCGACAATCTACATTTCCGCCTAGCGCAAAATGTGCTTGGACTTTGTTATTTGCGTTTTCATTGCATACATAAAGATGTGACGAAGTACAGGCAGAAAAGCATGAATGAATTCAGTGTTTTGTGGCGTTTGTTTGCGAACTCATCCGAGGATTATAAAGCCATGACCTAAATTAGAGCCGCTTCTGTCAGAGAGAGTCAAGGACGCTATCCGTGCAGTGCGCGCTTTCGGTCTGAAATATCTTCACACTGGCTCGCATTCCGATAAGCCCGATTGAGCTCTCAGTGGGCGTGGTTTTCCCAGGCTTTTAGAACAGCAGCTGCTATTTACCTTCCCTCTAATGTAAACCACCACCGCCACCCCTAGCCCGCCAGCCAAACCTCAACCACCGAGGTAATAAAACATCCTGGCACGTGCTCCACATTCACAATAGAGCTCGTGAGCCGACAGATGTCAAAATGCCAACAGCAGCAACGCGTTTAAAGAAATAGCTACACCGCTGCCTTGTCAAATGCACTACAAAGTAAAATGTTTAAAACACCCAGATTTAAAGCCTAGATTTAAGTGCTTTTTAAAGTTAAATCAAAACGTTAGACTGCAGTGATAATTATGCAAATATTTTAACCACTTTAAATCGAACGAGAACAATTATAATGAGAAGTTGAACTGATTTCCTACAGTGTAACTTTGCAGAGGAAGTAAAACAGTTGAAGTAAAACATTCCCATTTTTTCAGATTTCTAAAACTAAGACCACTTAAAATGTTACATTGTAACATACACATTCTTCACAACAGGCAGTTTATTTCGGTTGTAGCAAAAGGCAAACTCACATGCATTTAATTTGACCTTTTTGACATTAATATTGCAATAGTACACTTTTCTTCACGTCTTAAACTTTCTATAATGAGCAGTGCGTATGTCAAGTCAAGTCAAGTCACCTTTATTTATATAGCGCTTTTAACAATACAGATTGTGTCAAAGCAACTGTACAGCATTAATTAGGAAAATAGTGTGTCAATAATGCAAAGTAAACACT